ATGCTTTTGATGTTTATTCTGTCTATTGTAAAATGCACACAATGCAAGCAAATTTCCCTTTATCATTCCACAAACTCTGTCTCTTGTGCTGCCTTCAGAAAAAAGGCTCTAGAAATAGTGACAAGTTAATCATTGAACCTCTTCATAAAACAAACCAAAATACATATGCCACTTGGTCAAAAGCCAGATTTGCTGACAATACAAAGGGTGGAAAGCAATTTGTGAAAAGAATACAATGATGGTTTTTTTAATGCCGTCCCCACTGGTGAGTTTGCAGGTGGGTAGGCATTTAACCAGTTGAACAGTTTCAAGTAGGGACTCTCATCTTTCCACCTCCGTGCCGATTAAGCATGTGGTGGGAAAGCCCTAGTACCCACCACCAATTTGGAATTCCCTATGGCTTCCTCCTGCTGCTGTTCAGACTGTTGCCAAGCAAAGAACATGACCAGCAAACCAGCATGGAGTTGTTTCCGGTCTCCGAATGGGATCTCTCACTCAAAAAACATGCAGTGCTAATTAAGAGATCCTGAGTAAGAAGTTGGGGCCTGACAGCGAAATCCTTGGCCTTGCTGCTAACCCCTCTGTACCCTTTACGACAGCACCCCAAGTTGCAATACTCCTTCCTCCTTTATTTATTTCTGACCTGGGTCACTCTGTGATTTGAGCTCTCAGGTGGGTGCATTTCCTACATTAGCCACTACCTCCCAGTGGCACTGCTGAGAAAAAGAAGTTCTTGGCTCTGACTGTCTAGCAGTTTTTGGGAGGAAGAACTGACTTCTCTCATGGTCCTGATCACATGGGAGGCCTGTTCGTTTCTTCATTGGCTCATTATTTCATGGGTCTTCTCCAAAGAGGCAATCAGGATTATTACAGCACTCCCAGGTAATGGCTGAGATCGCCACATCCAAAACATTCCTTCAAATAGTCTGCAAAAGTGTAGAGATAGGTTTAGTGAGTGAGGAAAATTGACAATTTAGAATTAGAATTGGGTTTATTATCACATGTACTCACATGAGTACAATGAAAACTTTACAAGTCACCCCTTATGACACCATCTTAGGCACTAAGGTACCTAGGTACAGAATCTTGGTACAAAGCAGAAAATAAAGAACCAGGTTAAAAAATTAAACATCACAGTCTATAAGCGCCTAGCCATGCTGGACTTGCACTTGTCACAAGGGTTCGACCTCGGCCCTGCCACTGTCCCAGGCTGCTTGGCTCTTGCTGACTTGCAGCCTATTCCTGCTCCCGGCACTGCTTCAGCTGGCTGCTTCTGCTGTCGCTGCCGGCCTTCCTGGGCTGCCTACTCCCATTCTCATCCCCAGCCGGCCACCTTGGACTGCATGTATGGTGTGAGGAAATGTGAGATTGTCCACTTTTGGCAGAAAATAAAGTATGCAGAATATGATTTAATTGGAGAGAAACTGCTGAACCTGTCCTGCAGGGGGACTTGGGAACACACGAATCAGAAAAAGTCAACAGAAGATACAGTAAGGAATTAGGAGGTCACATAGGATGTTGGTGTCTTTTGCAAGAGGTTTACAAAAGTAAATCTGCTACAGATGTAAGGATATTCATGAGACCGTATCTAAAGCACTGTGTAGAGTTTTTGTCCTCTTACTTCAGAAGGAGCATACTTGCATTGCAAGCAATTCAATATTCATTGGAATTTAGGAGGATGAGAGGTAATCTTTTTGAAGGTCAGAACAGGGTAAATGCTGAGAGGATGTTTCTTCTCATGGGTGATTCCTGGAAAAGGGGCAGAGTTTCAAAATAAGGCGTCTCTCGTCTAAGGTGGAGATGAGAAATTTCGTCCCTCAAAGCATTGTTAGTTTTTGAAATTACCTTCTAAAGGGAGCACTGGGGCTGGGTTATTGAATATATTCAAGGCTGAGCTCGAGACATTTTTAATAGACGTAAGAGTCAGAATTAAGGGGGCAGGCAGTAAAACTGAGTTAAGGACTCAATCAGAATGGCAGACATTGCTTGAGGGGCTGAATGGCCAACTACTGACTCCTATTTCTTATCCTTTTTTGTGTTACTGTGCCAAGTATACAGTGCCTTATTTAGTCTTATTTGCATATATATTCATAAAGGTCAACAGTACAGAAAAAGGTCCTTCAGCCCATCGACTCTGCACCTGTCAAAAACAAGAACCCAACTGTTCTATTCCCATTTCTAGCACTTAGCCCCATAGCTTTGTGTGCCTTGACATCATAAGTGCATATCCAAATACTTATCAAATGTTGTGGTGGTTTCTTCCTTGACCACACTTACAAGCAGTCAGTTCCAGATTCCCACCACCCTCTGGGTGAAAATGTTTTTTCCTTACATCCCCTCTAAACGTTTTGCCCCTTACTTTAAATCTATGCCCCCAGTCTTTGATCCCTCTATTAAGAGAAAATATACAAAAGAGTAGACACCAGTTTTGTCTGCACACATTCCACACTGATTTACCATACGATGATGGTATGCTGTTGTTTCATAGTAAATCTGATCTTTCCTCCCACCACCTCAGTGAGTGCAAACAAATTTCCTTGCTGTTCTACCCAAACGTACATCAGAAATGAGGAAAGGATGCCAAATCAGAAGAGGACAGTTACATGGGATGCAGTATTGCTTGAGTCATCCAGGGATTTTTTTTTAATGCTAACTTCTCGTGAAAT